ACCCTTAACAAACTCAAATGATTATCAGTTCACCTTCAAGGTACTTGTTGGGTGGAGAGTCAAATCAGGTGCATGGTACAAGTTGATGATCATATGAGAAGGTTATGGATGATGTGGGTATAATGATCTATTTATGGATCGAAGCAAACATCGAGATCTTGAAATAGGGGATTCAATAAAGTAAATAAGACACATGGTTTTAATCAGAACTTTGATGAACCCTGGGTTCACAAGAAGATACGATACAAAATTTTATTTTTCCTAGTAAATGATATTTTACTCATTAAAAATAATGTAATTATATTATCGTCTACGAAAGCGTGGTTAGTCCAATAGTTTTATATGAAGGACTTAGTAAAGCTAGTTGTGTTCTGCGTTTTAGATCTTAACAATATGATAGCTTTGTCCCAAGTTTCTTATGCTGACAAGATATTTGTCAGATTTTCTATGCAAGATTCTGCCCTTCAGGCATCGAATCCAACTCTCTAAGGATCAGTCCCCTAAGATTCTTAAAGAGATTGTGTACATGAGTAGGATACCTTATACGTTTGTAGTAATTAGTCTCATGTATGCTATGTTGTACAATGGTCCTAAAATTGGTCATACTATTGGTGTGTTTAGTCAAGATCTAATTAATCATAGGATCGAAACATTGAAATCGAAACATTGAATGGCGGTAAAGCAAATCCTTTAGTACCTCTAGAGAATAAGGAATTGTATGCTCCTCGCAAAAACTTATTCCGATGGGTTAAAAGTAATTGGACTTCCAGAGTAATGAAGATTATCGCAGGCTACAACAATATCGTTGTTTACACTTGATGATGGGGCCATTATTTGGAGAAGTATCAAGGAATCATACATTGCTAATTTCGCCATTGATGCCAAGTATTTGGCAGTTTGTGAAGCTACTAAATTGGTTGTATGACTTAAAAAGTCATAATGGACATCGAGGTGGTGCCTGCATCTGTACAACCCTTTACACTATATTGGGATAACTGTAGGACTATGGTAGATGTTAAAAAATCAAGAGTCGTCAGAGGAATAACACATTGGACTAAAATACCATCTCTTAAGGGAGATAGTTGTTATATGTCATTGTCAGTAAGATTGCTATTGGGATAACCTTGTAGACTCATTTACTAAGAGTCCGTCGGCTAAAGTTTTCGAATGACATCTGCAAAACATAAGGTTGCAAGACATGACACATATACTCTATAACAAGTGGAAGATTTGTTGGGTTGTGTACCCACATAGTATAAAATAACAATTTATAATAAATAAATTTTGGTTTTATTCATTTATATTGCATTTATTTATTATTGGACATGCGAATTAAAGTGCCTATGATCGCTTGCGATAATATATAAGTTGAGTACTGGCATTGAGAAGTATTGTGTGACACAACTTATATTTTGGTCATAAATAATTTGTTCACAACCATTGTATAAGGGTTGGTACCTTATACTCAAGGGTTGTAAAGTTGACTAATTTACTATTTGAATTTGTAATTTGTCCTTATAACAAAAATTTTATTAAAGGTGACACTAGTATACTTGTACTATATTTAACGGACCACATGTCGAATTTAATTCTATATCATGACCATGCAGAGAGCTAAATTCCACTTGATCGCCGTATAGTTCATCTAAATCCCCTGGCAAGATTACATGTATATTTTCGTGATTTTAATAGTTATTTGATTTACCAATGGATGAGATCAATTTGATTGATCAAATATCTCAGTGAGTTGGGAACTTGAGAATGAGCGAAATAGAGAATATGAATTTGTATTGGGAACCACTACCCTGAGAAATGGGTAGAGTGAATACTTAAGTATTTTCTATTGAACGATTAAAATTTGAGTTCTGTGTTTAGTGACGGTTAAATTTCGACATATGTTATTAGTTAACAAGATCGTTGAATAAAATGGTACTTAACTTAGTAAGAATAATTAGAGGGGCAAAACAGTTATTTATGCTTGTAACTAATTATTGAATCTCATATGGGGATAAAATACATATATGGCAGGTCAAAGAAATATATTACAGATTTATTAGTTTCTGTGATCCTATATATTTCGAGAGTTCACACTTTTGTCTTTAATGGAAAAGGCAAAGACTAATAATTAGATTGGGTGGACTAAGGTCAACTAGACATGATTTAAATATTGGAGCTTGGATAATATGTGTCTGATCAGGTCCCTATGGTAGTTCTATAAAGTATTGAAATTTAATTTTAATTATAATAAAAGTTTTAGGGCTTAGTTGTAATTATAATAAAGTTTTGTACTTAATTATAATTATTTTAAAAGGTGTAAACTTAAATATATTTGTAATCAAAGTTTTAGGATTACATGTATAATTAAATGTAAACTAATTGAATGTGGATTTTAATTAAAACTCCTATTTAAATTTTAATTAAGACTTCTATTTGAAATTGGAGTTATTATTGTACATGGATTGGAACATCTTTATCTCTATAAATAGAGACTAGATGGATATGAAAATCCTATAACAATCATAATATATAATTATATAGTGTTCAAATTGGAGTGAGAAAAAATAAGTTTTTCTTATTGTCCAGTTCAAGAATTAGTTTTTTGATTAAATTAAAAGAATATGCCTACCCACCAATGTAGTCTCAACTTTGGAAAACTCGTGATCTAAAAAGTTGGAAGTTCGTAATTCAGAATTAATTTAAGAATCGATCATCAAATTTAGGTACAAATTCGAATCCCTAATTCTTGATATAACATATACATGAACATCTAGAAGATTTTGTTTATTAAATTAAATAAATATTTAAATTTCTAGATAATTCTGCTTCCGCATTCCAACATGTGCAACACATGTTTCGGTTCTTTCTAATACCACTACTACCTCAGCAATTAGATTTCCCATATTTTATTATTATTCTGTTTACTGTAATGTTTCTTTTCATTATTTTATAATCCAAGCAGTATTCCTAATTTTCTTTTTGTATTTTTCCTGAGAATGAAAACATAATGAAACTTTACTCATGTTGTGAATTGACTTGCACAGCTTCTTGAGAATGACCAGTCCATTAGATGAGGATTATGTATTGTACAATAGGATCATTAAGAATAAAACGGGAACTGGTATTTATTTTTGTATGAAGTGTCCATAACTCAAGTATAATGTAGGTGGCCACTTCTAAGCATCAACTTCAAGAGGCCTTTATTCATGGTTTTCTGCGTGCTAATTGCAAATATGAATGTTACGAAAATGTTTATATTATGTATTGGTGCCTAGCATTATCTTAGTATCCCTCTGTCTAGGAACCATTTTACAAGATTTTAATCAATCTTTTAACATTTGCCAATGCAAAATGGGAGCATTTTTTCCAATAAATTATCACCTAAAAATGTATAAAATGGACCTATTGTTGCCAATGGTAAAAAAAAAAAAAAATACTTAAAATATTGATTAAAATGATTGTTAGACATGCGCTAGATGTCATCTTGACGTGATGAAATTCGCAATATAGAAGAGTGTCTATTTTTTAAATTCCAAATATGAACTCACGTTTAAATTAAACGTCGCAAATTGCACATGAAATGAAACGAGGTATAAAATTGACTCGGTCACATTTGGCTGGGGGAACTGGTAGTAAATAAGACAAGGCATGTGGCACAAAACCAACACGCTCATTTTAAACGATTTCACCAATTTCACGTCCGTTTTTCTTCATACCCTCCTAGAATTTAAGGAGTCACATTTCTATTACATTTATAAACTGTGCTTGATCAGAAGTTGTTAATTTGAAGTTGATATAGTGACTCGCGATTGAATATCTGTATACTAACAACCAAGTTGACTCAAATTATATTAAATTCGTCAATTTGTTGCCTCAAATTCTATTATTTTCATTAATATATACAAGATATGAAACACAATATCTTAACTCATTTATTATTTTAAATATATTTCAAGGATAATCGAATTTTTTTGGAGTGAAATCGATATTCCATGCGCAAAAATGATACTCATCCATTTCACATGGCAAGATGCCCTTTCACCAATTTCACGTCCTTTTTTTTTTTTTTTTTTTTTTGCTTTGCCCTCTTGTATAAGCCCCTAGAATTTATGGAATTACATTTATGTTACATTTGGGAATTGTTCTCGATCCAAATTTGTTACTTTGAAATTGATACAGTGAGA